CCAAATTTTGTTCGTCCAAGCCCGGCTCCCCGCCCAACCCTCCCCAGCCCGTCCCCACCCCCTACGGTACCGGGCTGACCCGAGTTGAACCGGGTTGTGAACGGGTCAACCCGGACCGATTAACAGGTATAATTCACACTACCTTCCTAGACTCCACTCGTGAGATTACACTTGATTTGTTGTTGTTATTGTTGTTATTATTTTAAGCTTTAATACACCTCTGCTTCCCGAGTACTTGCATCTTCTATCTTTTCATAAAGATGTTTATGTTCATCCTGCCATTTCTGGACAAAAATTGCTTTTATAAGCTAGCAACGTACTTACTACTTATTAACCCAATTATTACACCATGTACTAGCAATATCTTTTCTATTTTTTTGGTTCAAAGCAATATCTTTTATGCTTTCAAAGGTCCAGTTCATTATTGGCTATTACATCTAGACAATTCTATAAAGTACCTTCTATACATAAATGTGAATGCATCTTTAACTGACGAGCTACCAAAAAATGGAAGAAATTATAAAACATGTCCAAAATACTATTAGATAATCTATTTTTAAGGCGTTAAAATGGGTTGGGTACCATTTTGCTACCCTACTCAAAGAACATTAGATGACAAAAAACCTCGTGCCTTCCATGCCTAACAAGTAATGGCAAGATTAATAAGAGAAAAATACGCAAAGAAACGAGAGAGAACACAGAAAACTTATCTTTACTCGCAAAACAAGGTCTAAAAAACAACCAATTCCATAAATTCAACAAAAGCAAAACAAAGAACAACGGCATCATACAAATTCACTTCTCTAACTTCCAGGATACACGACTCAACACATTTAAAAGATGAAGCCAAGCACGTCCTGCTAAATTTCAGCACGTCAAATGCATGAGTTAAATAGGCTTGATCTTGAAATGGAGTGAGATGAGAGAGAACACAAAACACTTCAAATCCTGCAACAAAAACCAAGAGTCGAATTTTGCAGAAGTATTCCAAGACTGAGAACCAACACCAATTTGCTGAAACAAACTTAAAGAAATGCATCAATGATGTTTGATTTAAAGATAATAACATGTCAACTACCATAATAAAATGGCGCAAAGCAGTGAAATTAATTGATCGAGAACAGGAAATCCTTCAGAATCCCTCCAACATAAAAGAAAGGAGACGATGAAGGGTGTCCAAGCTGGGGTTAACTCGTATGACAAGTGGGGTGATGATGTGGGCTTAAGGGGGTCAAGATGGAGGATGGGATGGCTTGTAGCTTCTATTTCTGCTTAGCAATGTGAAGGGGGAGAGGAAAGAGGGTAATAGAGGAGGAGGAGGAGGTGAATTGCTGCAACATGAAAGCATGTCAGTTTTATTGCTAGCCGGTCTTTATAGCCATCCAAGGTCATTTTTGTCGTAAGGTAGAAAGGGGAAAGAAAAAGGCTGGCAAGAATCTTAAGGATGAAGTTGGTTCAAGTTGTAAGTCAAAAAGTATTACTTTCTCACACATATCCATTACTCTTTCTTTTCTTTTATTTTTAACTATTCTAATCTCTCCTCTCCCCAAAGACAATGTATTAATAAAAATAACCATCACTTCTCCCTTCTAATTATGATCAGACCATGTTTCTGTTAAAAGGGTAGAAGATGAGGAAAAGAAGAAAATAAGCCACTGAATAAGCAGTATTAGGCAGAAATGAGGCCACAATTTAAGTCCAGCTTGCATTAAGAAGAGTATCTTTAAACAAGAGGTCTTTGATGGAAAGAAATCAAAACCTCACCTCTCTATTCATTTAAAGATGGAATGAGGGACTTCACCAACCAGCTTCTAGTGCAATCTAAAGATGGAGTTAGTGGGATTAGATTTTCTTATGGAACTCAGAACTGGGAAGCAGATCAAGTCCAGGAGGTTCACATATATCATCAGTTTACACAGAGAGAGGACCCTTTTTACAGTATACAACTAGGATTCCTAGTGTGCTTTCAGTGAGTTATACATGTAGCTAATGGTGGCAAAATGGTTAAAAGAAAATAGTTATCTACCCATATTATCCTTTAAAAAATGGGTTGGACAATGAACTTTTTAAAAACGGGTCCAATATGGATAAGAACCATATTATCCACTTAGAAAATGGATAACTGACTAATGGATTTAACTTTTACATTTGTAAAACCTCAAATAGGGTTCCTCAAGTTTAGGAGACTAGGAATTCTCCCAAAGTGATCATATTCAAGAAGCCATGGATAATATGGATAATATCCGCCGGTTAACCAGTTTTTTATCTGTATTAAATATGGGTCGGGTCGGATAATTTATCCGTTTTTGCATTACCCGTTTTCGGCCTGTCCATATACGACCTGACCCACCCGTTTGCCACCCCGACATGTAGCTAATTAAGACTAATATTATCTTGCTTGTAAAGCTCCAATAAAGGCCAAACAAATGGGTTAATTTGAAGTAAATCAGAAAATCGACCCCCAACATCGTACATCTAGACCATTAGAAAGGAGAAAGATGAGTTATCTGAAAATTAACTCTGTTAGATGAAGGTCCAAAATTGTAGCTTCACCTTTTTTTTTTGTTGGGGTGTGTGTGTGTGTGTGTGTCTGGGAGAATGTATATTTTACAAAAAGTGAATGTCAGTAGCCAAAACATTTTTTTTGCATTTCTATTACAATTTTCACAAACTAATGTGTACAACAATGCAACTTGTTACAAAAAACTTTCTAATGTATTCATATAAAGAAGTAAAGAAAGATAGAAAACTCTTGTAGATCCGTACCTGAACAAGATAATAGAAGATACGAAGTCCCTCGGGATCTTTACTGGTCTGAACATCCATTAGCGAACCAATCTTAGATGTAGTGAAAGATATGTGTTCATTTCCCATCACAATCTCAAGCTCCTGCCTACCCACTCTATCTGGTTCAGGCCAGTTGTTATCATCTTCTTTCATGATCTATAATAAATGAACATCCAGAACCTTTAACCATTTCCATTTTGTAATCAGAATAATAATAATCAAGTACTAAAACTGATGAAGTAAAGAGGTGGAAGGGGTACAAAACGAACATATTACTTCAGCCCCAATAAAAGAAACCCCAATCCTCCACTACCCCTCCCTCCCCCTCCCCCCAAAAAAGGAAAAAGATTCAACCTAATACAACAAGAAATCTCCTCTTCACCTATTCCATAGCTAAACAAAGGTCAGGCACTCAATCTAAGGTGGCATAATGACAGGTGAGAGCAATAACAACAAAAGCATCGGAAGATCCTAAAGTAGTATATTCAGCTGGTCATTCTATCCCATCTAAATAGATATTATGTTTAATATGGATACCTACATCATTACATTCCATTCACGATTAGGAATACACATGCTTACACCTAGTTGTCATGTTTTCAAAATGATAATTCTGCTTCTTTACAATGAACTTTACGCCAAAATTGCTCAAAATATCGTGATTATTTCCTTCCAGGATGAGAAGTTTGCTGCTTTACTAACATTCTTAGATCAGAATGGCTCAAGAATTGGTATTTCTTTCATTGGCCTTCCCACAATCACTGGCCTTCAAAATAACTTGCATATTCCCAGCATCAGGATGAAAGTAACAACCTAAAGCTAACAGCCAGCAATTTGAAAACCCGTAAAGAATCAATCAACCAATCAGTTATGCCTCTGTACCGCATCAATTTTTATTTTGTTTTGGATAAGTTAATCCTCCACATCATAGCTTTACACGAGCTTGTAGACTATGCTTTGCATTAGGCAAAGTACAGACCAACAAATAACAATTTAGCAAAAATCGCTGTAAAAAACCTAAAACACCAAATTGAAATACCAAGATACCGAGTTTGACCCAAACCCTATAAATATAATCGAATAGAAAAAAGAAGGAAGAAAATCAAGGGGAGAGTTCAAAAGGACCTCGCTATCGGCAACAATGCGACGGCATTCTTTGAGGACAGCAGGGGTAAGGAAGACCTCTTTGCGAATCATGGTATCGTTCTTGTAGTTTGAATTGTTAGCATAACGGAGCTTGCCATCTGGTCTAAACTCGAACTCTAAGAACTCGTGCCCGAATTTTCCCTTGTGACCGACGTAATATCTCAGGTAAAACTCGTCGTTCTCTGCCATCTCTCCCATGTCTTCGTGAAAAATACGGTGTCAATGGAGTCTCTCTCCCTTATAGGTCCCCGTTGACCCCGACCTGAGATTATAAGGCCCAAAGGCTTGCAATTTAAAGGCCCAGTCTGCAGATTTTGGAGGAGAGCAAACTTCATTTATATTGATTTGATTGCAAATTATAGCCAAAAACTTATTATATTGGCTACACACAAAAAAACATGTGCTGACCCATTTGATCAACTCTTCAAGTTGCAAAATAGAGTTTTTAATCTATTCTGAGTTGTGAACAAAGATAGGTAACATGAGTCTTGTGGTTAGAGTAATATGATATATACTCTTTTGTTTTTCGAAACTATCTAAAATACTTTAGGCAGCTTTATTTTTCTACCAATTAATATTTTTTATATTTTCAAAATATTAAACTATTTGCAGTATATAATTTTTTTTGAGATAATTTCTGAATCAAAGTAACTTTTTATTACTTTAAATAATTCATTTGCTTTCATTAACATCATAGTAATTCAAACCTTTACACATTCAAAATTCCAATAATACGGACCAAAGGGGGGTAACAACAGTCATAATTCATTAGAGAGTAATTTCGTTTAATATGTTTCATGAAGAAAAAAAAGGCTTTACATTCAATATCAACCAAATTATGTTTGCTTGCAAAAGGTGTCGAAATTTTTTCCAGACACTCCTTCAATTTATTGAAATCTTTTTGGGAAAATTTATTTTCATCTCATTCTTAGACAAAGCATCACCTTAACCTCATTATAATTGCAACTTGAATAGAGTAACATGAGTCTTGTGAGTTGTGATTCAATAGAATTACTTTAATCTTTTTGTGAGGTGGACCTATTGTTTTTTTTTTTTCATTACCGTTCTTTGATTTTTATTTTAATAGAAATGTCAGCAGCGTCTTAATTATAAATTTTTATACATAAGGTTAAGGTAAAAGAATAATATATATATATATATATATGCTTTTATACATCATACAACAGTCTACACACGTTGGATAGATACAAGTGCTCGGGATACAAAATAGACCATCACTATACAAAATATATAAAAAATAGAGTGTCACTATACAAAATATATACAAAATAGACTTCCACTATACAAAAATTATACAATAAACTGTCACTATACAATTTATATACAATAGAATGTCAATATACAAAATATATTCAAAATAGACTATCACTATACAAAAAATATACAAAATAGATTTTCGGACTACTAAATGTAATTTGTTTGGGCCGAAGGGACATTTCATGTCAATAGAAAAAAACATGAGCTATTAAAATTTTGAGGGGCTATAGAGGGTCATTTTCTCAGAGTGTTTAGACCCAAAATAGTGAATGGAGCAACTATTATAATAGTAGTATTAATGAATAATGCTTCTTTCGTCCCAAAATAATTTTTCTACTTTGATTTGAGACTGTCATTTTCTGAAAATTTGAAAACATAATAAGCTTTTAAATAATGTGAATATTTGAACTCATACATAGACTTTTGTGATTTTTCTTTTATTTATGAATAAAATTGAGGTTAATTTCATAGATGGTCACTCAAATTTTATATTATTATACTAGAATAGCTTAACTATATTTTTGTAATAAAAAATTCACTCAATTTTACTGAAGTACCACAAAAGTTACTAAATTATGTTTTATAATAATAAAAAAATATTTAATTTGCTTAAAAAGCAAAGAGAGATACTAGGAGGAAACATATGAGATATTTCTACGATACTTCGGCAAAGTTGTTATGACCTTTTTTTAGTAAAAAAATTATTTTAGTGGCTTTTGTGATATTTAGGTAAATTATTTTATTTACTATTTTTGGTGTAATAAAGTAAAAGTGAGTGACGATATGTGTTGAGTTCTATAAAATGTAATCTGACTACTTTCAAAATAAACAAAATATCGTTTAAGCCTATAGGCATGGTAATTAGGTAGGGCAGGGCAAGGCAGGGCAGGGCAGGACAGGACAGGGTAAGGTATGACATACTAATCTTTTGACCCACCTAACCATGTTCTATTTAGCACATTTTTAAGTTTTTGCCATGTTAAGCGTTGTTCTGTCGTGCCCTGTTTAGACTCTTTTTAAATGTTCTTTTTATTTTGCAAGATTATATTTAAGTTTTTATAACTTTTTAAATGAAGCTAAAACTTGGTGCATTTTCTAAAAGAAAAAAAAAATTGACCCGCCCTACTAGCCTAGTAAAAATATTGCACTACCCTGCCCGATTAAGGCCCTGTCCTGCCCCTGCACGCTGCCTCATTGCCATCTCTGTAAGCCTGACCTAAATGAATGTAATCATCTTTTCGGATAAATGTCTCATTGTCCTTTGCAACCCACTGGAAAGTATACGTCTTTCTCATATAACATACTAATATTTCTAGGCCAAGTAATTGAAAAAGGACTACTTGGAAGAAAAGTACAGTTAACAAATGATGAGATCAACTCCAACTTCTCAGACTCAGAGTAAACAAACCAAAACACACCCTCTTAAACTGTGAAAATCCTCATATTTACATGAACCAAAATAGCAAGGACAAGATTCCAAGGTTTACTAAAAGTAGAGAACTTAAACCAACATGGTTAGACACATTAGTAATAGAACTAGGAACAATAGCTGAAGGGTTATTATTTCTCTTGGAAGCTGAAGGTGTAGGAAAAGAGACCCTGGCCTGGGGTGCTGGTGCTGGTGCTGCAGCTGGAGAAGCTACTCCATTATCTTCTACATTTACATCAAGTTTCATTCCCCCTAGGCAATGTAATCTGTTCCCACAAATAAAATAACTGTCCCCTGGCTTTGTTAATGGAAATGTTGTATTGCCTTTACTGCTTGATTTTAGTGCATTTGTTGTGTTGCACCTATCGAAATTCTCCTTAGTTACCTCATACACACTATGGTAATTTGAGAATTGGAACACTACAAAAAAAAAAATGATGAGTCCATATATCGATGTGATTAACTAAGATTTGAGGAAATTAATTAAGTTTTCATCTATAAATATGTAATTAGTGAAGATGATATACTTACGAAGAACATCACCGACGATGAATCGTTTGCCTGATAACCATGTATCAAGATCAGTACTAATATCCCAGCCAGAATTATCACCCACCAGATAATTAGTGGCTGAACATGAGTATGCAAGAGCAAGAATTACTGATATGACATAAACTAATAGAAGCTTTGCCATAATTGTAATTACTTGGAAGAAAGATGAAAAATGGGCTATATATAAGTATATTATGTTGTGGCATGCAAGATTGGAGACTTTGCAATTAGATTACCTAACGATAATAAATAAAAAGCTTAGCTGAAATAGCTTTCATAAGGGAGTTAATTACAGTCTGCACTTCTTTAAGTTGTAAAGGGACGAAATAAACGTTTGTTGAGATTATGGAGAATCAGAAACTATTTTAAATTGTTATGTTGGTAGGGAGGTGGAACATAAATTGTGCTGTTTTAGAAGGCAGTTTAACGTCTCTTGACTCCTAATTATTCTTTGTCTTTGTGTTTTCACTTTGAAAATGACAGTCCGATGATAGGCTATAATTGCGTATTTTAATCGCTTATTACATTCTAGTTTACTGCACATTAATTGAGTTTGAGCTTTAATCGTTAGAGTTTTGCATTAAAATATGTGTTTTATGCCTTGTAGGAGTGATTCCGATCTATGTAGGCGTTATGGAATGAATTCAAGTGATTTGGAGCTTTGAAGTCTGAGTAAAGCCCAAGAAATTAAGCCGGGATCGTATTCGGGGATCAATGGATGATAGTTAAGAACGAAACGAAGAATCGAGCGAGCATATGGCGCATTGTCTAGTAAAATGCGCATACTTTTTCGCTTAGAACACCGTTTGCGCTCCACAATATATCGTTGGAAAGCTATTTGAAAGGGCTACAACTTTCATGTTTTGCATTTTTGCGAATTCCCATTACCGCACCGCACACTGCGCCGCACCTGTGCAATTTTCCAACAGTCTGCCAGAAAATAGCTCTCTGAACTTTCCCACTGCCGCGCCGCACAGTGCGTCGCCCCATGCGGAGCGCCTGGACAAATTTCAGAGTGATTGTCCTATTTCGCGCGGGAGAAGGTGTTTTCGTCTGGGCCTGACCCTACTTGTTATAAATACATATAAAAATGCTATTTTGAGGACTTTTAACACATCTTAGACCTAGGGAGACTATTTTGGAGAGGAGACGTGGGGGAACATACACCATGCTTGGAGGAGGCTTCTAACTAGTTTTTATTCTCTTTTCTTCCTTTAATCTCATAGTTTATTAGTTCTAAAATTTTGGGTGCTACATGAACGTTGTAGTTTGAAGCTTAGATTGTTCTTATTATTTTATCATATTAGTTTATTTATTCAATCTTGCGCTTAATTATTTGATTGATCGATCACCAATTGAATACTATCTACGAATTTAGGATTGAACTCGAGAGAGGGAATTCTAGATTGCATATAAGATTGAGTAGAGCAAGATCTTAACTCTGAGGGGGGGGGGATTTGCGGTTAGGATAGGAATATACCTAATCGCCTTGCTTGGTTATTATACGGGAATTATAAATGTGTTCTTGTTAATCCTAATTCCAAAGGAATATAGGCGTTAGGTTAGCTTTACTAGGCGAGTTGTACTTCGGGAGAAGGCTACGAGCAATATTAACCCTGTCAACCAATAAACCAGATAAATTAATTAGACGGTTTAAGTAGAAAACTCAACGGGATTGTTAGCTAACCCATAGCTCTAGAATATTCACTGACATTGAATTCGTCTCTATAATTAGCCAACTTGTTTTATTTAATCTCTTAATTTGTTACTTTAGGTTAATTTTAGTTAAATATTCATACGTTAGGATTCGCTTGAATAGATTAATTGTTTGGTTTAATTTCATTGATAGTTAATCACAAGTCCTTGTAGGTACGATATCTGGACTTACAATCCTATATTACTTTTCGACCACGTATATTTGCGTGCGCATTTGGGAGCAACACAGTCTCATCTGGTAAACCAAAAAGTGAATTATACAGGAATATTGAACTTAATATATGTCAAGTTTGATAGAAAACAATTGTTTATCCATCACTTAACAAAGTAGAAGTAGGCTGAAAGTACAACATACTGGTTACAACATACTGGTTACAACATACAACTATGCAAGATTCAAATCTCACCAAAATCTTAGTCTATTCTTGTTTCTCTTCCTCCCTATTTACATGTTATAATATTTTCTAGTCTCGATTATTTTTTTGAAGTGAATTTTATTATCCACAACGGGCACCCCTCCCCCTGATCCACCCCTTGTCCCACACCAAGGAATCATGTGTATAGGCAAGACAACCCCAAAGTCTTAATACACTCAGTCCAGATTGTCTTTTAATCCATAACTGATATGGAGTAGTGTTAAGTAATTTTGTAGGCACTCGGCTAAGTACATATGTGGCAGTAAGCAAAGCATCACCCCAGTAACTAATTTAAAAGTTAGCTTGTGTCATCATTGACCTAACTATTTCTAGGAGAGTTTTGTTTCTTCTCTCCGCAATACCATTTTGTTGTAGAGTATTTGGGATAGTCAACTGATAATGTAATGACCCGGCCGGTCATTTCGAGAGTTGTAGTCTCGTACCCCAATTTACTGCTCCCTTTTATGCTTTATAGCTATTATATGACATATTGGGTTAGTTGGTTCGGGTCCGAAGAGATTTCGGAATGAATTGAGACATTTAGTCTCATAATGGAAAGCTTAAATTGGAAAAGTTGACGGGATGTTGACTTATGTGTAAACAATCCCAGATTTGAGTTTTGATGGTTCCGTTAGCTCCGGGTGATTTTGGACTTAGGAGCATGTCCGGATTGTGATTTGGAGGTCTGTAGTTGAATTAGGCTTGAAATGGCGCAAAGAAAAGTTTGACTGGGAGTGGATTTTTTGATAACGGGGTCGGATTCAGATTCCGGAAGTTGAAATAGGCCTGTGGTATCATTTGTGACTTGTGTGCAAAATTTGGGGTCAATCGGACGTGTTTTGATAGGTTTCTGTGTCGTTTGTAGAATTTGGAGATTTTAAAGTTCATTAAGCTTGAATCTATGTGCGATTCGTGTTTTTGATGTTGTTTGAGGTGGTTTCAGGGTTTGAAGAAGTTCATATTATGTTTTAGGACTTGTTGGTACATTCGGACGGGGTCTCGAGAGGCTCGGGTGTATTTTGAGTTGAGTTTTAAGTGAGTCTGCGCATTTCAGCACTCTAATGTTGTTCTGGAGCTTTTGGGAGTGGGTGGGTGGGGGGTGCATTTTGGATTGTGGATGTGCGGCCGCAAACTCCCAAAGTGCGGAGGTAGTGGTAATTATGCAGACCGCAGTTGAAAATGTGCAGACTGCAGTTGAAATTGTGCGGTCCGCAGAATACTGCTCGCGGCCGCAGAAAGGGGATTTTGCAGGTTCGATGGTCTAACTTTGGAAGCTTATATCTTTTGATTTATAAGGAATTTGGAGATGATCCAAAAATAGAAGTTGTAGCCCTTTGAATCTAGTTTTCCTAAAGTTAAACTATTCTTCATTTGGACATTTGTACAGAAAGTTATGGCTAATTTACTAAAGCCTGATAGTGCAGCCACCGTTGAAGCGCGACCGCACAATTTGGAATTTGCAGCCGCAGGACCTGGGATGTGCGGCCGCACAAAGAAATGTGTGGCCATCACAATAGTAGGTCGGATTATGTACTATATAAATGAGGGTTAGGGTATTATTTCACATTTGAACTTCGGGAGCTCGGTTTGTGGCGATTTTTTGTGAGTTTTTCAAGAAATTCATCAGGGTAAGTGATTCTAATTTGGATTTGGTTAATATACATGAATATATCATTGGTTTCATCATTTAATTAGCACTTTGAAATGGAAATTTGGGAAAAATTATAGAAACTTCATAAACTATAATTTGGGGATTTAAAGGTCGAGTTGTGATCGAATTTGACTAATTTTGGTATGGTTGGACTCGTGGTCGAATGGGTGTTCGGATTTTGTGACTTTTACCCAATTCCGAGACGTGGCTCCGGGGCCTGACTTTTGAGTTGACTTTTTAACTTTTGACTTAAAGCTTAGTATTTTCTTATGGAATTGATTCATTTAGCTCGTGTTGATTGTATCTAATTGTTGTGGCTAGATTAGGGACGTTTGGAGGCCGATTTGCGTGGCAAAGGCGTATTGGAGTAGAAGTTTTGCTTGGATTGAGGTAAGTAATAGTTCTAAATCTGGTTCTAAGGGTATAAAACCCCAGATTATGCGTTATGTGATTGATTTGGAGGTGACGCACATGCTAGGTGATGGGCGTGTGGGCGTGCACCGTAGGAATTGTGACTTGGTCCATTCCATGGAACTGTTAAGTTAAATAACTTGTTGTTAGCTATATTTTCTCCCTTTGTTATAGAAATTTGACTACAAATCATGTTAAAAATCATATTTAGGATATCTGATGATACCGTTGGGACCCGGAGAGGTTGTGTACTTTTTGAATTATCTGTTATTTGTTGTTTTGTGCTCATTCACAGTTTTACTTACGTATCATATCTCAGTCTCTTCGTTTCTTGTTGATACATTACATTTATTTCTATTTGGGTTGATTTATGATTTCTGAGAGCCCGAGAGACTGGAGAGATTGGTGACTGAGTTAAGGCCTGAGTGTCGAGCTGTGAGCGATATATATATATATAGATCGGGTTGCGCGTCGTAACGAGCCTTAAGGCTGCATATATGTGGATCAGGTTGCACTCCGCAACGATCTTTATGGCTATATATATATATTATAGGATCGGGTTGCACGCCGCAACGATATAGCACTTGGACTGAAGGAGCCCCTCCGGAGTTTGTACACACCCAGTGAGCGCAGGTACCTGTTGAGTGCTGAGTGCCGAGTGTTGAGCTATTGGGAAATATTGAGTGATTGTTGTTCTGAGAGGATACTTTTGATTTCCTTATTAATGCACTTAACAGACATATATCACTGCTTTGAAATTTCTGAGAGATAAACTGATTTGACTTAAATTGCCGAATTTGAAGGCATGCCTACTTTCTTTTGTTAAGATTACTGAAATTGAACTATAACTGTGTAGCTCGTCGCTATCTTTAGTTCTTTATTTAGTCTTGTTACTTACTGAGTTGGTTGTACTCACGCTACACCCGGCACTTTGTGTGCAGATCCAAG